GGCAGCCTGGCCGTTGTAGGGGGTTTTTTGTTGAGGTCGATCCCCCCCCATGTACCCTGGGATGGGGCAATCCCCCCCCCCCCCCCTCCCCTCGAGCCTAGTCGGCGGAGCCCCGATACCCTCCCCCCCCTCCTCCCCTTGAGCCTAGTCGGCGGAACCCCGATGAAGTGTTTCTTTTCGGCGTTGTAGGAACGTCTATTTTTTTTTGTCAAAGCTCTGCGGCATGCATTATTTGGGTCATGATTGGAGTATATCACACGCCGCCCTTGGATGGATTTTTTGGAGGGTGTGAATAGCTCCATGGGCAACAGGGAGGGGTGACGAGCTACAGACAATTCGTATCTCCGGTAAGACAGGCATCGCATCTCTCTCGACTATCGCTAGCTGTGCATTTCCGATGCCGCCGTCTGGGTCTGCAGCTCACCTGCTGCTTCTTTGTGTTGATGGTTGGAAGGTCGGCCTGCGGGAGGGGAGGCGGCCACCCCCTGGTGCGCTTTGCCGTTCGTACACGTGGAGGCAAAATAGGGTAGCATGGATGGCATCAGCTACTAAATCATGTGCTTGTCTGTCTCGTAGCAGCATGCATGCACTTGATGCGTCTGGTGTAAGCCGATTCTTGTGTGTTTTGGGGTTTCCGGTTCGTAGCTTGAGCTAAGCGGGGCCTTCAAAACACCCAGTATTTAGATTTTTCGGTTATGTCCTACCAAGAGCACATGGTTTGGGACTTACAAAGGGCACATGGTTGTGTCTTAACAAGGGCACGCGGTTGTGCCAGACGAAGGGCACATGGCTTTTGCCTTACAAAGAGCACACACCTGTGTCTTAAAGAGGGTACACGGCCCAGCAGCTCCTGGAAGGAGGATAAGACTCTCATCACGAATTGCGTTTGCATGTCGGTGTGCCGAATTCGCACGCAATGTAACAATACACAGTTCCTGGAGCTAGGGACTCTGGCGGACAAGTTGGATGGGGACGCGGAAGAGGCGGCTAACGGGAGCGCTTTTGCCAGACGGCAGAAGAGGACGAAGAAGTACCTGGACTTCTACATGGTAAGGAGGGGGTCACTCATCTCTTCCATTTTGGTCTTGCAATGTTTTGTAACGATCTGTTGTCTGTGTTGGTATATGTTGGTATTGCATGAGGAGGCGTTGTTCATATTCCACGCGCAGTTTTATTGTGTAACGGTCTGTTTTCTGTGTTGTGTATATGTTTTTCAGCGGTCTGCTTGGTATATGGATGTGCATGTGCAGTATATTTGTTGTAGTGCTTTGGTTGGTATGATAGCACTTTTGCCGAAGCAGCACGAGCGCGCTAAGGTTTGACGCTACACGCATCTGCGGTTTGAACTCGATGCCGTCGGCTGTAAAATCAGAGACGAGGTGTGGATGACACGGCTCGTTACCGCGAGACTTCTTGTCCACCTACAGCAATATCTGGTTGTAGATATTGTTCGTTGTTGTTGTTTCTTTTACACTTCTATGGACGGCAAATAGCAGTGCCAAGACGCGCGTGCGTACCATACAATCGGAAACACTTTGTTTTGCGCTTCGGAACGCTCCTCAACAGCAACAAGAAGCATTCTGATTTGTCCTATTAATAGACCCCTCTCTACTTTGTGGAAACGGATTCATGGTGTTCTATTAAGAAAAATCGAAGAATATATTCAAGACGGCACCCACGGTACACATTATATTGGTTGTTTGTTGTTGTTGATGTCGTTATCGACCTTTTTTGTTGTTGTTGTTGTTGTACAAAAGGTAACGATGCTGGAACGTTCGATGGAGCTTGCCTTGGCGCTGGAGCACCTGCACTACCACATGCCCGACATGTTTATCGTTCACCGAGATCTGAAGCCGGATAACGTCGGCTTCAAAGCTGACGGGACCCTCAAGCTGGTGAGCTAGCTGTCTTGTGCTATTGGTTGTTGTTGTTGTCGTTGTTTGTCGTTTGTTGTTGATGGTGGTTGTGTTGTTGTTTGTTGTTGCTGTTGCTGTTGTCATTGTTGCTGTTGTCGTTGTTGCTGTTGGCGTTTGTTGTTGGTGGTGGTGGTGGTTGTTGTTGTTGTTGTTTATTGTTGTTGTTGCACTGGAAGAAATAGAGGGCACATACTTGTATGATAAATGTAGAGACAGCATTGCGGGCAACAGTACGGGTTCCAGAGCTGAAAAGGAGAACTGCTGCGAAAACTGACCTCCGGAAGTGTGTTTCTTGTCTAGACTACAGCTTGACGTGCGTCTCTTCTTCTTCCAACCCTAGATGGCCATTCATTTCTAATTTCATCATTTTCTCGTACCTGTCGCCCCCCCTCCCCCCCCCCGATGCCTCGATGCCCGTTTCTTCTGGTTCTGCTTGTCGTCATGTCCGTGCGAATGTCGTTCCCTCATGCTCGATGGCGTTCTTCGCGCGCTGGGACCGGGCGCGCGGGGGGGGGCGGGGGGGGAGCAGTTCGACTTTGGTCTTGCGCGAGTGGTGAAGCGGCGCAATCGTGTCAACGCGCGGTATGAGATGACTGGCGAAACTGGTTCGATGCGCTACATGGCTCCGGAGGTGAGGCGTCTCTTGTTGCCATTGTCGTGGCGGTATCTTATCTTTCATTTGTTTGGCGCCATTCTTGTGTGGTATTCGCCGTTCGTCTCTCGCGCTATGATAGCTACTCCACCGGGAGAAATGATGGATTCGTGCGTCACTAGGTTTTTTTCATTTCGTCACTCCTGTGTGTTGTATCGTACTGTAGCCGTACAACGTTAACGTTGCTCGGATTGCGATACCTTCGACGTCACTGCTGTATTGGACAGGTATTTTGCGGTATTTGTTCGCACGTCAAAGTCGTTCTAGATGCACGCGTGACCCTTGGGTCGGGTGCAGGCCGATTTACGCACGCTCGTGCACAGAGATGTTAGCAGGCAAGTGACACCCGAATGAGACGAGAAGAAAGGCGTCATTGCTGTCACATTCCGGAATAATAAGAATTACACCGACATTTGAATGACATGGGCTGGCCCTCTTCACAAGCACAACGCTGGTTTTCTCCCTTGGACCGTATGGTGGTGGTTTCCTTAAATGGCGCCTTGTTCTTATGGTAATGATATCCTTAAATGGCGCCTTGTTCTTATGGTAATGATATCCTTTGTTGACGCCTTGTCCGTAAGCATAGCTTGGGTTGCAGAAGCCCTCGATCGACCAATTGCAGACTTACCCTATAGCAGGAGGAGCGGCGGGGGGGGGGGGGGGGAGGCGGAGAGAAAATATTCTTTCTCTTCGTGGCGGCTCTCGTGCGTCGCTGTGGTTAAAGAAGAGATGGGTTGTCAAAAGGCTGATTGACCACGCAAGGAGGAAACGACGGATTCGACAATAGTGGCTGCTGTGCTGGCATATTCGTACAGGGCGCAAGGCCCGGTTCTCTGCGCTGCTGTGACAGAGATGAACGTCCGGTCGACCTCTGCCGCTCCTTTCCATCCGATCAACCTCTTCGCATACAAACAAAAAGTACGGCCATGCCCACTAGGTTTGCGGAGAAGTCCATACAAACACGGCCATCTCTACCACCACGGCTGTGACACCACATGGTCGCCGCCCGCTCGCTCGCTCCCCTCCTCACGCGACCTGTCATGTATGTTACCTTCCATTCCCCCCATCGGACCAACGAACGTCGTAGGTGGTGGAGTCGTTGCCTTACAACGAAAAGGTGGACGTGTACGCGTTCGGCCTGTTGCTGTGGGAGATGCTGGAGGACCGACGTGTATTCGACGGGATGGGGGTGACTGACTTCTATGAGAGGGTCGTGAACGCTGGCGCGAGGCCAAATCTCGACTCCGCTTGGCCACAGGTGGGTCTGAAAGAGACACGTTTAGGTAGAGAGGGGTAGACTGATGTGACTTGAGAGACACGTTCTAGAGGGGTAGACTGGTGTGATTTGAGAGAGAAACCTTCGAGAGGGGAAGACTGATGTGAATTAAGAGACGCGTTATAGATGAGCGAGGGGTAGACTGGTGGGGATTGAGAGATACGTTGTAGAGGGACAGACTGGTGTAAATTAAGAGGCACGTTAGAGAGGGGTGGACTGGTGGGACTAAGAGACAACAGACACGATGTAGAGAGGTAGACTGGGGTGAAAAAGAGACAACAGGCATGTTGCAGAGAGGTAGGCTGATGTGACTTGAGAGACAAGTTATAGAGAGGGATAGATGCGACTAAGAGACACCAGACACGATGTAGAGAGGTAGACTGGAACGCAGACTGGTGCGTGCAGCAGTAGTGTGGCAGATGACACGCAGGAGAAGGGGATAGACTAGATAGAACGGAGTCTGTTAGACGAAGGCTGGTGTGTATGCCTTTGGAGACGCATGTCGTGCAGTTGTTGATTATTTCGTCGCGGGTTGTTTGCTGAGGCAGTGCATCGAGGCTCGACGCTGCTCTATTGTTGGTGGCCCGTGGTTTCCGGTTTTGTGTTGCAAGTACTCCGGAGTATGATTGATTGCAGATTCGGCTCGAGAAAGGCAAGGGCAGCACCACGAGTACGATCGCAAACTTGCACAAGTATAAGCATGATCCATCCATCCGTGTTTTTACCTTCTCCCCGGTCTATTCTTGCTCCACCCCGTAATTCTCGTCCTCTGGTTCTTCATGGTGATGATGGGCGGGCTGATTTTCTAGTGATGACCGATGCTGTAGGCAACAAGCAAGGGCCATCGATGTGAAGCTAAGAGTATTCCATAGGTTCGAGGCAATATCCGCCGAGCCCGTCTTTGACCCTTGCCATGTGAAGGAAGAACGGTAATAGTAGACACTACCACCTCTTTCTCTCTTCTAACGCCTCTTCCACTCTCACGCCCCCCCCCCCCCCCTCCCCCCGTCCGTCCGTCCGTCCGTCCGTCCGTCCTTTTCTTTTTGTAGGATCTCCGAAAGCTCATCTCCCAGTGCTGGCACGCGGACGTGGACCGACGACCTAACTTCAGAACGATCGCGGAACGTCTTCGCACGCTCTACAGCAACGCGAAGCATTCGAGCAAATTCTGCATGAGCGCGATCAACCTCAACGAGGACCCGCATCAAAAGAACCGACGGGGTGCGTGCGTCGGTTGGTCGGTTGGGTTGGTTGCTGTTGTTGTTGGAAAAGGGGTAGCGGTAAGTGCGGTGCGTTGCTGCTGACGGCGTTGCTGCAGCTGTTGTCTTGTCTTGGCATGGAAACTGATCTTGCGGGTACTGCCCGCGCAGCTACGTCGCCAGCAGCAACGGGTACCGAGCCAGTGTTCCTTACGTTGCCGAACCTTCTGTGTGCGAACTTTATCCAACCGACCGCTCTTTTATCTAGAATGGTATCCTACATTGCCAGTTGAGCACGCTTGGAACCTTCGCCAAAAGAGGTCCCACCCCTATCTACGAGTCCGCCACACTATGTTCCGCCACTGGGGAAGTCCCCCCCCCCCCCCCTCCGTTTTTCTTGAACGTTTCCTCGGTGTTACCCATGTAGAAGTATGTCGGTACAAAAAAGTACAAATATGGCATTAGTTGGCTTGAATGGGCCCCGTGGTAATGAAAGCGGTTCCGCAGATTGTTCGTTGCTGTTGGTGTGAAACAACGACCAAGCAAGGAGTGTTTTTCAGCTGCCGACAAACTCCATGCTTGTTGGGCCTTGTAACTCGCAAGCGTCACTTGTATTTTTCCGAACATGAACCATGGTGTGCGTGCGTTGTCGAATGCTTCGGAGAGAGCACCCTGGTTTACCATGCTTGACGACTGACCGGGGATCCGGAACATGTACAACGCGCAACCAGATCTCGTCCGATTCCGTCGCTTGAGTGGTCTGTCTTTCCTCAACTCTTGTCCAATGTGTTTGTCGTCCTTTGTTTCTTGGTCGCAATGGACCGATCTTGACAGGGGCCTCGGTTAACGTTGCTAGAAGTGCGACAACAACGAACGTGGTCAGCCCTCGTGGCAGGAGTGGCGGTGGCCCTAGCAGCAGGGTAAGAGCGCGTATTGTCTCTGTTGTTGCTGTTGTCGTCGTCGTACTTGTTGTGCTGTTGTTATCGTCATCGCTCTTGTTGTCTGTTGCTGCTGCTGCTGCTGCTGCTGCTGTTAGTTGCTGCTGTTGTATTTTTTGTTGCTCGTGTTCCTGCTGTTGTCTCGGCATCAAGCGTTACATCTCTCTACTGTATCACTGTGTTCCATGTGGGGCCTTCTCCGTGGTCTAAGGCTTAAACCAGCCAAACCTGTTTAACATTGCATTAAAGCTCCCGAGGGGGCTTGAACACAAGTCTTCCAAGTAAAAAAAGCACGTCCTTCTACCTGTGATGTGAAAAAACCGACCGGTTTGTCAGGGCCCAGCTCCCTCCCGGCTGATGAAGAAAACACAGCAGCAAGCACACCTTACAGTTCGTTTGCCACGTCCCAACGTGTACAGTCTTAAACAGATTCAGCCATGCTTTGTGTTGCCCTTTTTCTTTCCGCTTTTTTGCTGGAAGCGTTCCTGTTTGTTTGTTGTATGTTGAAGGTCGCCTCTCATTTTATATTTCCCGTTATTTTGCCATTCCCAACTGTTCCCCGTTATTTTTTGTGTTTCCCTTACCCAACGAACGCCGGAACATCAAAAAGACGGAGATCGGCGGGAAAAAGAACGGTGGCGGAGTGTTCCGAAGGTTGGGGAAGATGTTCAACTCCAGAAAAGGCGGGGCCAAGCCTACCCTCACGCACACCGCGCCAGAGGCGTACTCGCGGAACGGAGCGGGCGGGTTCGTCGAATGGGGGCGCCGCAAGAGGGGGCGGGGGGATGGGGGGTGGGGGGGGTTCCGGGGAGATTCTGTCGGAGGGAGGCCATGTACGGGAGAAGGGCAAGCTCGCACGAGATTATAGCAAGCAGGGCGCAGTCCGACGGTATGATTTTGAAGAACGCTGCTGCCCGACGATGAGCTGGCTTTTCTTGTTTTGTTTTTCGGGAGGCATCTATCTGGGAAGGAAGGAAGGAAGAAAAAAGCAGGCCAAAAACATCATTTCTGTATTTTATGTATCGTTTTTCGGTCGAAGTTTTGTCGGAAGAGAATGTTTCTGCTTTCTTTTGGGGGGGGAGGGGGGGTTCTGGCATAGGGGAAGCCGGGAGATCGAATACATCGGTAGTAGATTTATGCCCGCGGGCAGGCGGGCGAGCCCCGTCTTTTTTGGGAAGGACGAGGTTCGTTCGGTGTTTGTAGTTTGTGGAGAGGCCGAGCAAGGTTGTTGCTCTGCTGTAGCGTCTCTTAACATCTCGTTTGCGAATGTACAAACAGGGCGCCGCGAGGGCGCCGCGCGCCGCCGTAGGGTGGGTGTGTTTGTCCCCGGTGGTCGCAATCCGACATGAACAGTCAAAGCGGGGGGACCCCCGGGCCCCCTTCTGTGCTTGCGCCCCCACGGATGACGGGGTATAACCCCCCCCCCCCACCTCCCCTTGACCGGCTTGTCTCGACGGACTGGTTCGCGGCAAGAGTGAAAGGGACGAGGGTGCGGTCTGGGTTTGAAGCATCTTGTCGAGATGGAGAGGCTCCGAAAGCGCGAGAACGTGACTGGTGGTTGTTGGTCTGCCGATCGTGTCAGTTGTCAATGATCGTGGCAATGGGGGGGGTGGTATTCTACGTCATCTTCTTCGGCTCTCTTGCTGCGTTCGGCGGACTGCGGGTAGGATTGGACTAGTTAGAGAATACCCTCCTCGCTGTGCGAGACGGAGCGAGGCAAGGCGTGGGATAAGACAGGGTGTTGCCGTTTCGAAGGGAGACGCCCATCGCTAAGTGAGAACATGCTTTCAAAAGTAACGCATGTGATGGCGGTTGTGTGAGCCTGGCAGTAGACCAACCGGTGAAGAGGTGGGATAGCAGAGACGGGGAATAAATCGATGCCGGAGGTGCGCGTGATGGTGCGGGTCACACAAAAGTGTGTCATGATGGAGATTGAGGCGGAAGGAGTACGCGTATTTGTTTTCTAGAAGCAGCCGGGTTGAGGAGATTGAGATGGAGAGAGTAGGCGTGTTGTTGTCTAGAAACAGCCGGCGTGGAAGGCGACCGTGTATGACACCACCCCACTGCTGTACGTCCCGTGAGGGGAAATATGTTCGGTGTCTCGTCGTCTGCAGCGCCGCAGGTAATGTAGTGGGCGGGGTTTCGACAGTAGCATACATTCCTTTTTTTTTTTTGTCCGGGGCCACCAGCTGACAGCACCATTAGTTGGGAACACTTAAATCAATCGGACGTCATGGCCATGTCGAGTCGGGCGAAGGAGGTAGTATAAAAAAGCGTGTGGTACATTGGATGCACGCGCGCGGGGGGTAGGGAGGGGTGTTTTTACACGGCCTGAAAGGGAAGAGGAGGGGTGAAAGGCGGAAGGTTTGGCGGTGGTTTTTTGTGTGTGATATTCGTGCGCTGGCAGACGGGGGGACCAGAGGCACCGAAGGAAGAGTGGCAGCTGGACAGCCGGGGGGGTGCGCCCGTGATGTGACTGGCAGCTTTTCCCGTGCAGTGTTTGCCGCTGCTGGTAGCTCTCTCTCTCCCTCTCTCCCTCTCTCTCTCGACTGCTACTGCTGTTTGTTTGGTTTGCTGTCACCGTTTGGGTGTCGCTGTGTCGGTGTTCGGTGTTGTTTCGCGGGGGTATTTTTTATGTGTCAATCCCATTCGTCGCCGGTATCTACAAGGCGAGGATAGTTGCAGTCGACGGCGGCGACGGAGACACACACACACCACACAACGTTCGCTGTGGTTGCTGCTGTCGCTGATCGTTCGACCAGATATCGCTACCGCCTTTTGGAAGAGGCGAGACCTGGGGGAAGTGGTGGGTGGTGGGCATAACGGAAATAGGGATAGGGGTTCGAGGAGGGGGGCAATCGCATGGGGAAAAAACAGAGCGCATGGGCGGGGAGGGGTGGGGGGGGGGAGAGGGGGGGCAGACGGGAGCGGGATTCCCCGTCGTGCGGCTGCGTGCGCCGGTTCTCTCGCCAGACCGCCGCCGCCTGCCGGGCTCGTGCGTTGAAAAATGTGCGTGCGTCCTGTCTACTGCTCCTGTGTCGTTCGTTGTACGATCTTATATTTTTCGTCACGATACCAATTTGCATGTGTTCTCTCCGTGGTATGCATATAGATCCAAATCAACATCTTGCTGGCTCCACGGCGCGCGCCGTGGCGCGGTGCATACTCGTGCACGACGACAAGTTTTGGAGGGTCAGGCGCGCAGGCAGATCTTTTCCCGTCTCCAGCGATGGCGATGCCGATGAAAATAAGCTGCGGCTGCCTTGGCTATTTACGGTAGTAGATTGGGGAGGGGTCGGTCCGGGGGAGGGAGGGAAGGGGCATCGGAAACTAGGCTTGGAAGGGCGGCTGGAGCAGATTTTTCTCGAGGTTTTTAGCCTTTTGCCCGTGATTCCTCGTACCCCCCCTGGGGGTGGGCCTTACGCTGGCGGGGCTACGCTGTTTCATGTTTGAACTCTTCGCCTGTTCTGTTCCATCCTCGAGGTGGTGTCTTCACCCTGCGACAACCGTCATCAACCGGGGGTTTCCAAAGCGGCAGTGGCCACCCCGGGAATGCTCTTTTGCTTGCAGAAATATACATAGGAAAAAAAATGATGGTATTATCTTGTGTGTGTTTTGTGTTGTCGTTCGTGTCTTGTCCCCCCTCGCGTAGGGCTGCTTGTGTTTTCGGCCAGCAGTGTCACGCTTTTTTTGCTGTCGTGCGTCTTGCGCATCTTGCATACATGATGGAGTGTGGAGGGGGTGTGCAGGCGGACTAAATGAAACAAGTAGTGCAGGTGATGGGGAACTTGATGGCGCGATAATGGAATTTGGGATACTGCTGTGTATCCTCTCCCATGTGTTTGGTCTCTACACACGGCTTCGATGGCAAATTTGTTTGTGCAAAATGAGGCCTGTAGTACTGCCATCTTGTGATCTTGTCCCCCCCCCGTGAGAAAGAAGCGCGCCGTGAGAAAGAAGCGCGCTGTGGCGTTTCTCATCGGCAAGGAGAAGAGGAGGCACACTCAAGCATCACACGCAGAGTAGGTAGGTGTTGCAGAGATTGATAGCTCGCCCCTTGTGCGCCGCTCCTCGCTTGCTAAGGATCGGTGATAAGGGGTCCCGGGGAACACGTTTTCTCTTCCTTCCGTGCATGCGCTCCTGATTCTTCCGCAAAAGCAGGGTTCAAGGCATCTTCATTCCATCGGCCAGCCAACGTGATATGCCTGATGTAGTGCTTGACGCTCACGAAACGGCGGGATTAGGAATGGACTGTAGCATTGCCACCGGCGATTCGAATCCACGACTGTTTGTTGTTGTTGTCACACCAAAAACTGTTTCGGTAGATACCGTGTCACCTCCGCACCGGTCGAACTGACGCGGACGCCTTGCGTGCCCCCAGGCCAACTACCCAAAAAAGTTAGCACTCTTACACGCAAGGAAAAGAAAATACTGCCTCGTCATCAACGCCCGGCAGTCGGTTCTTGGAAGAGTGTGTCTTGTTCCTGTGTGTTGTCGCACGTGTTCTTCGGATTTGATCACGTGCACCGATTCCGCCGAGACTGGCCTCTTTCCATTTTGGTAGCAGGCCGGGAACAGCCCCGTTGGTGCATTCGCATGGGAGTGCTCCGCTGCCAACATTCTCGGATAGATTTATATGTCGCCTTTACGATTCGATACTTCACGTTTCAAGGGACTAACGGTATATGCCCGACCACACAGCAGAACAAACTGAACGCTGTCCATTCAAGTCTGGCATTCGCAAATGACTATGCATCTAAACCTGTCTCCACAACGATCATCTGCCGTACGGCCAACGCCATCCACGAGCGCTCTCTTGAATAAAACACTCCACACAAACGAACGGTCAACTCAGTCAGAGCATAGGAGTATCACAAGAGCGTGAGCGTGTGTGCGTCGATAGACCGATATTTCTCGACGCTGTCCACTTCTTCCTAGCGTGAATCTTGGAACCTGTAAAACAGACCGTACTCATCCTTGACTCTCCCCCCTCCCCTACCCAAGCCAGCACTGTGGACACACCGGTTGGTCAAGACGTTCGTTCTAGAACTCCGACAACGATCAACGCATCAAAAAAACTGAGGCCCTCCCCACGAAATCAATTATATATGGGTGTCTTCCGGCAAGTACTGCCCTGCTGTCGTTTGGTGCTGCTGCGGCTGGGAGTGCTGCCGGTGTCGGCGGCACTTGGTCCAATACCTTTTCTGCGCCATGCGGCAGAGGAACTGCCCGTATGGGCATACCATGAAGTAGCGACCGCCCCCGTGGGGCTTTGAACACGTTTAGGTTTTTAGGCAAGAACCAGTATCGCTTGCACCTCGATATCGCTTACGTCTCCCCCTCCTCCTCCTCCTCCTCCTCCTCGTAAAATTCTTGTATGCAAGCCTCGCAGTACCACTTGCCGTCTGGTTCTATCGCCACGGGCTGCGTCTTGTCGTCGCAACCTGCGCACGGGGTGTCGTCGCTTTTGGGGCCCTAGGGGAGGGGGGCATGGGGTTGCACGACGGCAGTAGTTGGGTGTCAGGAGGAAGGGAAGAGGTGTTGTCAGAAATATTTGTCTACAAGTTGGCGGTTGAAACGGCTGCTGGATTCCAATCAAGCCGGTATCTCACAGGTCACAGCGGAATTTCGCTCGGAAATCTGGGGCTAGACGACAACAACGAGCAAATGTTTGTCGTCCAATCGGACACCAATGAATATGCTATTGATCACGAAATGTAACCTTCACCCTAACTATACACGGCGATGTCTGTTGTTCCAACACCTGTTTGTTCCTCGAGGAAGGCCTCCAACGGCTCACAGGATGACGTTGTGTGTCGCTCATCGCATGGATAGCGGAACAGACCAACCAAGCACGCCGCACTTTCGTGGCCTCTGGGCAATGACCAAGGCCGACCTTGATGCGATGATGGCCTCGGCATGAGCCGCCCGAACACACACACTGCTACAGCTCTGCCGCAACCAATCAAAGGGTCCATGCAGGCTGACGAGCCGGCCCAACGTTGGAACATGTTAGATTTTGGTACCTGAGCCACGGCCTTGTCGTATGCGGCCGTGCAGTCTGGGCAGTACCCGCCGCCACGTCCGCCGTCCGTCTCCCTAGATGGTGGTGGCGGTAGTGGTGGTGCTGCTTCTCCACGCTTCGTCGATTTCCCACATCCGTCACACAACCCATCCATGTCAATCCTGGCTCCCTGGGGACTACCGCCGAGTTTGACCCCTCTTGTTGCCGGTGCCTCTCGTGCGTTCCCACCGCGACATGAACCTTCCATCTCTCCATCACAAGCACTTGAATCCTGTACCTCCCCAGCACAGACACTCTCTAGCAGCCCCAGTTCCTCCAGGGAACGCAACACAGCCTCCGCATCGTCATCTCTGGCGCTGTTGCTACCGCCGTCGCCCCCGCCCCCCCGCCGCCGTTGTGACCCTTCGCCGAGAAGGCCTGCCAGTTGCAACCCCACCGCCCGAAAGTAAAAGCCTAGGGCCCCCAACGGTGGCACGAGGCGGTACCGCAACACAATATCTCGGAGTGCCCATGCCGCCTCGAGGTGCTCCCGCGCTGATACGTGTACACTCGGGGCGCCTTCGTGCGGCGAGCAGCAGGAGACAGGGAGGGCAGGCAAGAGGCTCGGTTCAATAGATCGGGGCAAAGAATTACAACAGGACGTATGAATGTTCTATGCCAATATGCCATACGGGAAGCATAACGAATAGTCCCCATGCACAGAGTACTCACCACAGCTGTTGTTGCTGCTCCGGCTGGCACCGCGACCCCTGTCCGCGGGGGAGAAGCAAAGCTGGGCGAGACGGAGATGACACAGGAAGCACGCGGCCAGGTCAAACTGCTGCGAAGATTGCGCTTGGTGCAGGGCCAAGGTGTAGGCCCTCTGAGCGCCGGCACGGTCACGAGAAAGAAGGAGCTGCCGGGCCTTCAGTAGCTGTTGCCGTCCCACCGTCGGTGCCACGCTCTCCGAGGCCTGTTGCAGCTGCTGCTGCCGTGCTGGGGTAGAATCTCGAGGAAGCTTGTTACTACCACCCATGGAACGCGCTCCCCGAAGATGCGAATGACTCTCAACGGAGGCCATGTGCAGTCCGCACTTATATTCGGCGGCGGAGAGAGGGACACCAGCTACAGCAGTATGTACACAGCAGCCGGCATAGAGCCAGCAGTAGTGGGGCCATTGTTTGGGGCTTTGCGGCGCGAATTGAACTTTCCCGAATCGGTACCTTTTGTTCCGCGCAAAACCTCTCGTCTGCGGGCTCCTGTACTCCCATCGATGCACATTACCCCCGGACGCCTTGCCCGCTTCAAGGATGGACAAGCGGGTTCGATGGCTGTGGCTATCTGTAAGCCTATGTTGGATGCTGTATGTGCTTGTTGTGTTGTGCCAGCGATCAGCGTCTCCAGCGAGTGGTGGTCCCGCCGTCTCCGGAAAACGTACTAGAAGTAACAGCGGCGAGACTGCGCATCATCGGAACTATGACCATGGGAACACGCACCCCTCCTCAAGCCAGCGTGGGCATCGGCAAGACAAGACCGTGGTGGTGGTTATGCCCAGTCCGCCCATGGTGTCTGGCCCCTCGACCAGGATAGACCGCTTGCAGACAATCCGAGATACCTGGGGGCAGGACCTAATGGATGCTGGCGAAAACAGGTAGGTGTGAGTCCCTTGGTTGTGCATGTACAATACAAGTAGTCTACAGCAGACAGTACTTAGTAGATTACAATACGCAGACTTCTTGTCGAGTCTAACATTCTTTGCTTTCATGTCTTGTCTTTCTTGCCATTTCTTGGCTTGTTCACAAGCACTCCTATGTTCAATATTCTGCCCTATGTCTCCTCTTGCGTTTGGCCTTTTGCTCTCCTTGTCTTCTGTGTTGCCTTGATTTGGCCTGTCCCAAGTTGGCTTGTCTTTCCTTGTCGTACCTGTATTATCGTATCATACGTCGCCATGAGTCTCTTCTTGCCTTGCTTCATTTTCTGCTGCTGCTCCCGCTGCCCCTCTGCTTGTTGCTGCTGCTGCTGCTGCTACCACGTCGCGCACTACTTGGTCGGGACAGCGTAGTGTTTGTCGTGGACGAAACCGATGCAGGGACGGTGGAGGAGGCTTTGGACACTTGGGGTGCTCTGGAAACATCCCCCTTTCCTTATCCTGCGGGAGGTATTTAGTTAGGGTTACGCTTCGGGTTAGGAGGTCGCAGCTAAGTCAGGATCAGAGAAAGAACTCAGTAGGTGCAAGGTCCCTGGCATGTACCCCAAGATATGTCGGTACACACCTACGGCATACTCGGCGGGCACAAGCACATTGATAGTGACGGGGCGTCCACCAATGGGGACGATCCTCGCCACTCTTGACGGGAGGTACAGTAGCGCTCGACCCTCTCTCTCCGCGACTGTCACAGCAGATAGGCTACGGGCTGTGAGGCTGGGTGCATCTGTCTCCGACACAGGGTTCCATGCCATACAGTACAAGACGCCCACGCTCGTTTTGTTATCTCTCTTCCATCCGTTGGTGTGTCTGTCTCCCTCAGAGTCACCCTCGCTCTAGCTCTCCCCTCGTAGATAGAAGCGGTGTGTATCCGAAAAAGAGGAGATGGGGGCGATGAGTGGATGCGGGACGTGTTTTGTTTGTTTACCTGCGAACTGCTGTCTAGCGTGTACGGTGATCGAGAACTTGGTCATGAAACGCAACCCGAGGGTGGGTGTCGTCCGAAATGCAAGTGTGCTCCGTCTCGTAAAGGGAACAATGCGCGATCAATCGCCAAACGACTCGGAGGCGTTGGTGCCCATTGGAACAAACAAATGCATGATTCCACCGGCGCAGCTAGGCGTTCGCAGTCAACGAACCAGAACGCTCCCGTCCCCCCCCCCCCCCCGTTATCTACATCTGGTGTCCCCCCCCGAACACCACACCAGAGGACAACAACAGCAAGGGCCTTCCACCACGGCGTCATCGAACACTAGAGCAACAGCGAGAGCAAGATTCGGAGACTCCTCGGGTCCTTGTGGTCCCAGATGACGTCACGCGGGGCGGCACCGACGGCGACGGGCGTCTTAGGTAGGGAACAATCTACGGAATCTACGACGACGAGGAGTGGGTTCGAGGTGTAATTCTATTGGTGTTATTTTGGGAGCCCCTACAGTCCTCGCCGGCCTTGCCTTGGCGTACGAATCTGCGAATTGGTCTACGAATCATTCTTGTATACGTTATGGCAGAAGTACCCAGCGAGTAGCCGACAACCAGAGAGTTAATCCACCCCCCCACCCCCCCACCCCCGCCGGATCGTGTGAGCCTACCTGTTTTCACGCACGCGCTTTCTGTACCACCATTTGGTGGAAAGGGCCAGTATTCGTTTTCCACAAGATCCTCGAAGAATCTTCCACCTGTCTCCCACACACACACCGCCACCTCTCCTCTCCTCTCCTGAGTCTCGCTTCTGACCGTGATGGTAGTCTCTACAATTGTCGCCGCCGTCGCCGGCGTTCTTTGTGGCTGCCTTTCTGGCTGTCCTGTCTCAGTTCAAACAACCCCCCCCCCCCCCCCCCCCCAAGGTACGTCTTAGCACGAATCTACGAAATCTACGACCCGGACTTCCTCTTCTACTGCAACGAGCACACCTACGTTATCGCGGAGAATCTGCAGTGCTACACTAGGAGCCTGGATCCGTCCGACCCTGTGTATCTCGGGAATCGGTTCCGCAGGGAAGGCGAGAAAAACCAGGTGTGTGTGTGTGTGTGTGTGCTTGTGGGAACGGTTTCTTCGTACCATGTCGTGTGCGTTCCGTGTGCTGGTGTCGAGAACAGTCACAGTACAGTGAGAAGGCGTACGCGTCATAATAACGGGAACGAAGACTGAAAAACAAATCGATGCCGCATGGGCGAAGGGGGGATTGTGTGTGAGTGTGCGTCTGGGAAAAAGTTGTGGATTTTTGGAGGTGCGGGTGCTTGTGTCTGTTTGTGTAGAAATTGCGGGTTTGGCGATATGGTCAAAGATGTGGATGTCTAAAGGTGCGGCTGGTGTTCGTGTTTGGGTAGATTTGGGCTGAAATTGCGCTTTTGGCGTTAAGGTCAGGGATGTGGCGCTGGGTTCCCAAAAAACCTCTTACAATTGTACTGCCTTTGTTGATGATTGTTTTTCAAGCATGTCGAATTCTCTTAACCGTGCCATGATTTTCCCACGCCGCGGCGGCGGTCTGTGTCGCACCCCCCGCCCCGCCTGCTGATTGGCTGACGCAAAGCGATTGAATCGTTTTTTTGTTTTTCCTTGCACCGCGCGAGCAGGGAAAAGCCCTTCTCAACTCCGGTGCGGCAGGCTTCGTTCTCAGCAGAGGATCGCTCTCGTTGCTACACCAGGCGTGGCGTGGCGGCGAGGGCGGAGGGCGAGCGGATAGTCTTGGGGGCTCCGTGGATCACAGCGGGGGGCACAGTGATGGGGAGGGAGAGGAGCGGGGGCCGCCGACTGAGTGCGTGGCCAAATCCAACTACGAGCGGGGAAACCCGGGTGGGTTGCACGGGTGGGAGCATCTCGATGCGATCGTGGGGGTGGATGTGACGGACGGTTAATTGCTCGCAGGTCCGTGTGCATCAAGCAACACTCTGCACTTTTCGTACACACGTGGCCAGCACTAACTTTAGTTGGATTGGACTTTTTCACCCGGAGCATCGCAGCGCATACGGCGCGGCAAAGACGTGTTCACACCACTTGATGGCATCGCCTAAACTCTACACTTGCTCGAAGCAAAGCCAGGGTTTCCTGTTCGCTTAACATAACACGATGCCAAGTGGTGTCCGAAACCTCCTGCAAGACAAGCGTGATGCTCGGATGCAAGCCAGTTCGGCACATGAGCAGATCGTGCGCTATCGTTGTCGCCAGGCCAGTCGGTATTGGCAGTCGCAGCACGCGGCACCACTTACTTCAATAACCTTGGGGTCATGATCTTCAGCATTAAATAATCGATCAAAATTTAAGGAAGGATTTAGCCATGACAACAGGTTCGCGGTTGAACACCCAGGTATTGCTTCCGTGGCGTGTAGCACGTGCTCTCCTGATGCTCGCTGTACTCCTGCCACAATCACACGCCCGTCCCTCTCTTCCCTTTTTCCTTCATGCAAGAATCTGCGTGACTCTCTCTCTCTCCCTCTCTCTCCCTCCCTCTCTCCCGCTCTCTCTCTCTCCCTCTCTCTCTCTCTCTCTCTCTCTCTCTCTCTCTCTCTCTCTCTCCCTCTCTCTCTCCCTCTCTCGAACTCTTGCGGCGTAACTAACCAAGCCTCCTTGATTCACGGGTTTACCATGAAGTATCTAGGCTGATTCTTGTTCCGGGATTGGGTTGGTTGAGTGTTCACGGGTGCCACGTTCGTACGTGCCCGTCTCTAGATATGCGCCTCTGTTCCCTCTTGCTCCGGATACAGTCAGCAGAATTGCCACCCTGGCTCTTACGCTTTTCACACACCGAGACAGGCGTATGTTTTTACTACTTATCCGCCATGACTTGCGATTGTGCTTGTTGGCTGCTTGTTTCGCCGCATTTTTCCTTGGTTTCTCGCGTGGGTGTGCAAGTGTGCATCACCCTGGCTCGGTGCTCGGAAGCGGAAGTTCTATTGTTTAATTGTGTTTGGTGCTCTGTTTGGTTTCCAGCTTAAGCGGACGATGGTTAACACGTCGTCTCCCGTTCATCCCATGCAGGCATCACCCTGGCTCGGTGCTTGGCACACCTAGGCGTTTACGCTAAGGACACGACGGGCAACCAAGTGGGTTTGTTGTGTTTGTTGTGTTTGTTGTTGTTTTGGTATAGGCTGGCTGCTTCATCGTCTTCATTGCTGCTGCTGCTGCCGCTAGCTGTTGTCGTTGCTGCTGTGGTTTTTGCTGCTGCTGCTGCTGCTGCTGCTGCTGCTGCTCGAAATACAATAGTATTGCGTGTATGAGAGCGCCGCAGTCCCGCGACGTTGCCCGGCTTTGCTGTGCAATTGTTGTGATGGCTGGCGAACACTGCTGCATGTTGCGACGTTACGACACCGACCATTCCATTGCCATCAGGGAGGGCAGCGGTTCAACGCGTACGGTCCAGTCCGTCTGGCGCAGGGGAAGATCGACCAGTGGTGGGTGCCTAACGTTGTCGTCCGTATTGCCGCTGTTGCTGTTGTTGTTGTTATTGCTGTTGTTGTTGTTGCTGCTGCTGCTTTGCTGCTGCGGTTGCTGCTGCTGCTGCTGCTGTTGCTGTTCTTTTTTGTTGGTTAAGACGACGATGTTCTTTGTTGTTGGTTAAGACGACGATGTTCTTTGTTGTTGTTGTTGTTGTTGTTGTTGTGCTGTCGGTGTTGGTGTTGGTGTTGCCTTCGTTGTTATTGTTGTTTTCTGCTTTGCTGCTGTGGCTGTTGTTGCTGTTGCTGCTGTTGATTGTTGCTGTTGCTGCTGGTTAAGGTGACTGTGTTGTTGTTGTTGGTGGTGGTGGTGGTGACTGCTCCTGCTGCTGCTGTTGTGGCTGCCGTTGCTGCTGCTTCTGCCGCTATTAGTTGTTTTTTGTGATGATGTTGTTGTTGTTGCTGCCGCTCTTGCTGCATCGCCTCAAACTTCTGTACTGTGGCCTTCCCCCCGCCAGACACGTTTAACCTCTGCGCTCAATAAACGACTACCGACTCTCCTCTCATACAAACCATCATACCACAATCAGGTACAATGACGTTCACGCCTCGGATCCAGGGATGTGGCGAGCCGGCCCCGACTGCTGTTCTTCGGACACGATCTCCTTCCACTACGTGGGACCAGCGGAAGCCAGAGCGATGCATCACATCCTACACCACAGAGAGACGTGAGCTAAAGGATGAACCACATGCATATGTCTCTTTATTATGTGCATCGACCCGTTGGCAAATGAAGAGGCGTCAGTCTCAGTGCGGCTGGATGCGTCGTGTGTGTGGACGGGTGCGAACGGAAGAGATCAAGTAAAAACATGTGCGGAGGGGAGGCGGGGGTACCCTTTGTTTTCGGTCCAATCCTTACCAAGTCTGCGCTGCTTTGTGATCTGGTACACGTTAGACAGGGATCGGTGTAGACTGGTGTGTTCTCGTGTTGTTAAGTTTTTTTTTTTTCTGTTTCTCCTTCGGCGCTCGGGCGTGCGTTTGTTTCTTCTCTGCCGCGGACACCCGTACTGCCGCCACACCAACACACCATCACCATCCTCTCTTTCCACCGCCACGCCAACAACCATAACAACAATTGACGACGACAACAACAACGACGACATCGACGACGATACCAACTACGACGACTACACATGCGTTTGTTTCTTCTCTGCCGCGGACACCCGTACTGCCGCCACACCAACACACTCATCACCATCCTCTTTCCACACACCAAGGCACAACAACGACGACAACAACGACGACAACAACGGCAACAACGACAACAACAACGACAACAACGACAACGACAACAACAACAACGACGACAACGATGATGACGATAACAACAACGACAACAACGACGACAACGACAACGACAACAACAACAACAACCACGACCACATGCACTTGCACACGCACGCACACCAGCTACCTGACGGAGGGATACGAGGAAGCTCTGAGCCTGTGGCCCGCTTCCGGAGAGTCCCTTGGCCCCTACGCCGCCCGCCCGAAGGCAGGGGACGAAACCTTCGACCTGCTCTTGAAGAAAATACGAGTTTGTTCTGCGGCTTGACAGAGAGAGAGAGAGAGAGCACCAACGTGCTCTTTGCTTTGCCGCACACTGCTGTATATACACCAACAGAGGTGTACGCTGTGTCTGATGAAAGCGCTGTTTTTGTTCTGGTGTTTTTTATGTGTATGTTTTTTCTTGGTGGTGTTGCTTGTTTCTCGAACCCGGCGAGAACTTGTTCGATATCTACCCGCGATGACACGACGCGCATGTAATCGACCAGCAACAACTGAGCACGAGTTGCGCCCGGCGTACTTGTAGTGTGTGTGTCTTTTTCGTGGGTTGAACCCTGTACGACTTCTGTTCCACAAGTTTCGTTCGGATTGGCGGCAGCAGCATCAAACATTGCATGCGCGCCCCACGCGTGTATGCGCAGCGTTTTGGCTCTGGGTTTGCAGAAATCGTTCTTGTTGCCGCCTTCTATTTTTTGGCGTCATGGGTTGCGGTAGCGCCAACGCTAACGAAGCGCAGCATTTTTGTGTGCGAGAGTGCGAGCTGGACATCTTTCGGGGCTGATTTTCGAAGCCTCTGTAGTTGTGCGCGCGCTGCTGTAACAGCGTATGTTCTGTGTGTATGTGTGTGGGGGGGGTAACGATAAATGATACGTGCTGTAGTATGGGTAGACTCACGCGAGTTGTTCACCTTGAGAGAAACGGACGAACAAACTGCATTCATCTGTTCATGTTGTTTGTGTTCGTGGCGGTGATGATCTCATTGAATTGCCGCCGGTGACACTTTGCCTGCCTCACCTCTTGCTGATGCTGCTTGTTGTTCTTGTTGCTGTTGCTGCCTTCTGTTGCATGGAGACGATTTTGTAAAAGTATTAGTGTTAATACGATGGGGGTAGGGTGTGCTTGTTGATGTCCTTTTCCTTGCCTGACTCGATGTGAGAGACGGCCTCTGTCTCGGATGTTATGCACAACTTTTTTTTAGTTTTTCCCCTCCTCGGTCTAGGAAGGAGTTAGTTTCTCATATGGTCGATAGGTATACCATTTGGCACCTGTTTCCCTCTTGCGCGTCTATTCTGAACTTGGCATCGTCACCGCTACTATTATTAGTAACCGGCGGACCAGTGACAAGACGCCGGCCTTCGCCCGTGTGTGTGCATGCGCGTTCGCTCCTCCGCTACGGATTTGACCCATGGTAAAGACCCATGGTAAGGACCCATTGTAAAAGTACGGTTTCTTCTGTTCTTCCCTTCGGGGCGTTTTTTCTTTTTCTTGTTTTCGTCTCACCATGCGTTGAGACGCGTTTTGCTCGAGGAGGAGAAAATATTTTTTTGGACTACGGGCAAGTCACCTTTGCTCTTTCCTGCCTGGTTTTCGTTCGGATTGTTGTCAGCATTTCGTTGTGGTGCCTGCTACTGCTGTGTGCTTCATTCTTCTCTCTGCACGAGTGTCGGGGTTTCAACACGAACTGCATGCCTTTCTCGGGGGGGGGGGGGGGTCTGCGTTGGTAGTCCTGTGTGCTTCTGGCAGATCCGAGCCTAAATTGACAGATCTGGCGTGCTGTAGACCACGCGGCAGGGGACAACGGCAAAAGAGACCGACCGATCGTGTCAAACCTATGTATCGTGTGACGACGCATGTAGGTGGGGACGAAATCCTCCGAGATACGCTAAATAGCGTGCGATAGGCTCGTTTTCTAACCAACCCGAGCGAGAAACGTATGCAACATTCAAAACAAAATCAGGGTGTGAACCTGTCTGTTCTTCTGTTCTCCTCTTATCTAGTAACCGCGCATTGTGCCGCATCTTCGAGGCTACGTATCATAGACCAAGCCAAAAACACAACCATGTTGTACAATATACCCAATGCTGCAAAACAGTGTCGCCACCTTTTCTAACACCCTTGCCGGAACAAAAAAGAAGGGGAAGGGCGAGACATTCATCGACGCAATCGATCGCGTCTTTATAACAGTTTGCGGCACCAACATGGACACTTTGAAGATCCCTTTTTGCCCCAAGGCCCCAATACCTCTCCTCCTCTCACCTAAATCCCACCCCCCCTCTCTCCTCTACCCTGCGTGCCCCCCCCACTCTCTCTCCTCGCTTCCCCCCCTTCCATACCTCCTCTCCACCGCCCCATTCGTAATCGCCAAGACACCGTCTACATCTTGGCCCCGTCCCTCCACCACATTGAGTTGGGCAAAGCAACAAATTAGCCCCCCTCCCCCGGCCCTCCCCTTGGGGGTACTTCAAGAATGGTTGTGCCGGCGACGTTATTGTTGCGCTTGGTTACTTGTAGCCGGGACTCCCAATCAACCCATGGCTTATCTGTCTTGGCACAGCAAACGCAACAATGATGACACTACCAGCTTCTGGCTCATCCTTGTGAAACGTGCGGCCTGGGCCGGCGAAAACCCGGCATCTCTCCGTCCTGGCAATGTAGGTCTTACGACTTAGGCCTGCATTTGCGTGAGCATCCCCCCCCCCCCCCCGTGTGTGCCTCTTGTTTCTCGCCCGCAGCTTGTCGAAAACCTTTCACGAAACATACATTTCTCACCCTGTTGCCCTGGCCTGATCGACGAAACTGTCGACCAGTCTGGGCAAGGGTACGACGTCTGTACAGCATCAAGACTCCAATAAGATGGCATGCGCACGATGTACGCGACAAGCTCATACTATCTGTCTTGTGCCTGTCTGCTAGGCAGACACGTTATGGGACTGAGCAACCATGAAGACACGGGACATATCGGGTTACAATCGCCTGTCTGTCTGCTAGACAGACACACTACGGAATAGAGCAAATCATCAGGACACGGGGCATATCGGTGTAATGACCACAGCGCCTCTCCCGCCGCCCCCGCCCTGCGACCAGCCCCCGTCATCCGTGCGCGCGCGCTCCATAAGGTCGAGCTGCAGAGCTAGCTCGTAGTCACTCTGCGTCTCCATGAGAGCAAGCTTCTCCTTCATCTGTGACGGATAATGCGTTCCAAGAACACGAGGGAGGGGGGGGGGAATGGCGTTGGGGGTATTCGGTTCAATGCCAGCGGAGCGGATGATCCATTCCAGAAAATCAGAATTGTCGGCGTGCGCGCCAAGTCTGGTGGAGAGTTGTAGTGATGCAGAAAACCCCAAGCATGCGGCGAAGAACCCGTCGAGTAACAACCTGACAAGGACGACAACGTTTTGGACAAACCACACGTCCCCAGTTGCCAAAGCAACCTTTACCACCATCACCACTACCGCCGCTGACAGCACAACAACAACAATAACCAACACCATGAAAAACAGCAGCAGCAGCAGCAGCAGCAAACAACACACATCCAACAGCAACAGCAGCACCGTGAATACCAACAACAACAACAACAACAATAACCAACACCATGAAAAACAGCAGCAGCAGCTGCATCAAACATCTGGCGCACCTGAGCTTTCCCAGCATCGTCCAGGTTGAGTGGCACCAACTGTGTAATAGTGGATGTCGTTGTTTGTCGAACAACGCCAACGAGGGTAGAAGGATACACAAGCACGCATGAGTGGTCCGTTTAGTTGACGTCGGACCGCACACGACACGGCAACATTGCATTGTTAGACTACAGATAGCACCAAACAACCAGTACATAGGAGGGTGGGATGAGGACAAACTACACAAAAATAATACTTCGGAGTATTGTTTTCTGGGTGTTTAAACGCAGATTATCACCGTACGCCCTAGCAAGCACGTGGCCGCTTTGTTGTTGGGGGGGGGCACCATACAACAGAAACGTCCGCTAGCATCTCAAGCGCACCTTTCTCTAAAGCCAGGGGTCGGGTACTGGGTTGGCGTTGGCTGATACTGCACGATGGGATACCAACAATATTATCCAGTACCAACGGCAACAAAAGCAACGGCTACAACCCAACAACCCAGCACAATCAGTGCAGAAAGAGACATGGTACTGATTGATTCCATCGCCTCGCGATGCCATACTGTACCTCATAGAAGAGCATGTAGCTGTGCAGTCCGAGGTCCTCGCTACCGAGCAGCGGCGGTTATTTTCGAGTATTAGTAGCGCACGGCCAACACCGCCGTCAAAAACAATATGAAACAGACCGGACGAGAGCCGCAGTGAAGTCAGCACGACAGAAGGAGTGTGTGCACAGGAAGCATGAGCAGCACCACCGAAAACACAACGGAAACAAAGGCAAGGCTGGGGAAAAGTCGAGAGTCGTCCGGGGGGAGGGGGCACAGTAGTGAGTCTGACGTCACTGCAACGCCGTCGCAAGGGTAAAAAAATAAGGAAGACCCTTGTGATTCCCAGGGCGCGTGTCGTTTTTTTTCAACACGTTCAGCAGTAGTCCGGCTAGGGGACGGGGTTGTGAAGAACTCTAGCCACACGCGCATACAACCAACAATTGACAGATATGGGCATGCGGTCAAAACAAAACGCGTGCCGGAGTCTGGAATGGGGGGATACTGCAACAGACGCTCTGTACATGCAGTAGGCCAGTTATAAAGTTTGCTCTTCACGTAGCAGCTCCAGAATGAGAAAGAGAGAGAAATAGACCACCAACACCACCATCACGACCACCACCCACAACAACAACAACAACAACAACAACAACAACAACAACAACGCCACACCAGCAACGCACCTGAAGAGACGGTTTGCCTCGTGAACGGTGTCCAACCTCTCCACGTAACCCCGCCCCCCCGGCCCTTCATGAAGGTCGTCCAGACGCAGCCACGCCACGCTGTCTTGGCTGCTCTCACCGTCATCAGCCCCTATGCTCGACTTCCCTCCTCCTGATGCCCACCCCGTCGTCGACTTCGAAGCCCTGTTTGTTTGTTTTTTTACCCAGGGGGTTCCGCGGGCATGGTGGCTGTGAGGAAGTGGCTACAACGTGTGTGTGTGTGTGTGTTTTTTTTTATTATTATTAGCATCGACCGCGCTAACCGGCTGACCAATGAAAAGACGTCAGTCTTAGTGCGGTTGAAAACACAAAACACTTCTATCTGCCATGAACTGGGACCCCGTGAGGGGGCAGCATAGGGGAGGCTAAACTATCCTTCGGATCAAAGTGTGTGTGTGTGTGTGCTCATAGTCGTGCATGCCGTAGTCGTTAGACACATTGACCTAGCATCCCTACAAAGCCGGGACGGAGCACGGCGGGTTCTCACCGGACTACCACAGGTTCTCACCGGACTACCACAGGTTCTCACCGGACTACCACCAATCGCCAAGCGGGGGGGGTATTTGCTAGGCGAGCAACACGCCAACGTCCCAGGGCAAAGCATCAAACCGCAACATAACCGTGTGAGCAATTAACGATTGAGCATTCAATCCTCCCACAGCACACAGCATACATTGCAATCGACACAGCCACGTAGGCTGACTGGCTCACCATTCACCGGCTTTAGCAGCGTGGGCGACACCGGCTTCACCCTTCTTGTTCCCGCCGCCGTCGCCGGACGCGACTCTGTCGGCGGTGTAGGCGACGTAGTGGCCCTTGCTCACGCTCTCTCCCCCGAGGTGGCACACGGCAGAGCGGAGCACTAGCACGAAGCGTCCGGGCTCAGATTTGTCGGCACGACCCTGCGGGATGAGTAGGTATTTCGTTCACGGCAGGCAGCGTCTTAAAAAGAGAAAATAAGAGCCCGCCCGGCGGGGCGAGATCGCACACGAAAAACGACTTTCCATTATGATATCTTTACTACTGCTGTCTCTGTTGCTCTGCCGCACTCCCATGGACCCCCCCCTCCCCTCCCGGCAGGAGATAGTAGAGTAGGAAGTAGTTGCCTGCGTTGTAAGCATGTCTCCGCTGGGATCGGCGGTGCCAAGCCGCCTGGAAAGGGTCGGTCACTCAACGATCGAGCCAAAGATTTCAGGCGAGGAATGATGTGAGTACACCCCGCCTCCGTCACCAACAACCTTGGCACCCCTACATTCCCACGCTCAACTAACACGCTCGCACCCAACGGCGACTTTTAGAGGAGGATTTCTTAGCCGAGCGCCTGTTCTTACGGCCAACGCACTCTCTTAATTGCCTGTGCTCCTGAGCTTGAAGTTTCTCGACTCCGAGGTTCTCAACAGAGTAACACTGTAATGGTGCCGAAAATGGCTGCGTTGGAACCGTCTTGTCGAGAGCTTTCGGAAAACGTAACACCTCCTCTTCGTCGTGGAGTAATCGAGCTTTAAAAAGCAGTCCAACCGGAAGGGGGGTGTGGCATCTTACGCAGCCTCCGGCACCCCCTCACCTTAGCACTGTCATAGGGGGGGTCGTGTCTTACGCAACCTGCGGGACTCCCGCACCATAGCACCGACATAGGGGGGGTGTGGTATCTTACGCAGCCTACGGCATCCCCGAACCTTAGCGCCGGCAGAGGGCGCCATGAAGTTGGACACGTCCAGGCGGTGCGGCACGATCACTCTGCGGCGGGACTTCGTCGCTTCTGGCACAGCAGCACCAGTACCAGAGGCTCGCGAAAAGGCGCCGGCGGCGGGAGTAGGCGCGACCGGCTGCTCGTACCTCTTGAGCACCATCGGCAGCATTATCCTTCGCGGGTGGGGTGGTTTTTGGGGAATGACGGGAAAACAAGCATGTTAGTCACCGTTGGTGAGCGGGAGATAGATATATATATCACTGCTGTCGGATCCCCTCTGGGTGCAAGTGAACTGAGCGAAGCAAGCTGTGTGCCTCGCGATAGCGGCGAGAGAGCCTGTTCGTTGGGAGCAGCGAACGTGCAAAGCAGCACCAGCAGCAGCACCAGCGCTGTGTCTACCCCCTTGCGTGTTTAAGCCCTTGGACGTAGATACGAATGTAGCGGCATGTGTCTACAAAAATGTACAAAAACAGAAGCAACGGTTAAACGGATCAACAGCAGCGAGAACCACAGTTCCAGTTAAGTAGACAACACCAGCAACAACCGCAGCATCAATTCGGAAGTAGAGGATGCAAGGCTCCGGAAGTATTGAATGCGTGGGCGGGATGATTATCCCACTGCAAGGGCAACGAGAGGAAATGCGTGTTACAATACGCCGTGTTTCAGAGATATTTCGTTGATTTGGAACAGAATCAACAACAGCAATAACCACAGCATCAGAGCAAGTTACAGGAAGACATGAGTCTTTATGTAAAGCAATTCCCTTCTCTCTCTCTCTCCCTTCTCTCTCAA